AGGCATCGCTTTTACCCCTACTAAAAAAGGATTTGGAGCTCGAGAATAGAGCCTGAGATGAATGAATTTTTGAAAAAGCTAAAATTATTAAAAAAACATCAGTACAACTATTTATTTGAAAAACAATAAAAATCAAAGGTAATTAACAAGGATCAAAAGGATAAATTATAATTTAAACTTACAATTTTTGCTTAAGAAGACAACTGAAAATTAATTTTGGCATGACTGACTTACCTTTCCTCAGCGGAGACGCCAAACTGTTGTAGCCTTCATTCAGGTGGGCCCGGAATCGTGTTCCGACTTAATTTTGATGTGTTAGAGCCGCCACCGATCATTTAAAATAAGGTTTACCGGACACCTTAACTTACCATTTACCTGATCTGCGTTTTACCAGAAACTAATCAGATTCAGGAGTCAATTACAGTTAAGGAAGAATTAACATCCTTGTATTGCCCTTTCGGTACCAATTTAATTTCCCAGTTGTCTTAATTGCAAAGATTATAATTGACATTAAAATTTAAAATTTGATCCAATATAATTACCTTTGACAAATTAAAATTGTCCTAAAAAAGCCAAATTAATGTTAAATAAAAAAAGATGAAATAAAATAAAACAAAATAAAAAATTAAATTAAATTAAATTTAAAGAAAATAAAAATTAAAGAGGGATTAAATTGGAAAACATTAGAAATTAAAGGTCTAATTGATGTTAATTGAAAGCTGGAAGGAGGAAAATAAAAAGTTAGGGGGTCAATTCGTAAAATATAAAAAATATAAATAGGGATTAAATTGAATAAATTCAAAATTCAAGGGTAAATTTACAATAAGTGACTAAAATTAATTACACTTCAGAATTAGAGAGATTACAAAAATAATTAAATTATTTTGTATTTACAAACCGGTCCACCCTATAAATAACCCAAAATTCCCTAAAAATTCATTTTAACCCATATTTCACAAAACACTCTTCTCCTTCTTCAAAAAATCATCTCAACCAAACCAACCGACCTAATGGCCGACCACCCTCCAATGGAGCCCCACCGCGTCGGCCACCGCTTCCGGTGTCCAGAAACCTAAAGATTTACCTCTTTCGATAGCCCTCAACTCAATGAACCCGAAGCCAAAGCCCAAACTCCCAAACTCCCCCCAAATCGACGTAGATCTAGGTTTTAGTTTCTCGGTTTTTACCTTTCCTAGTGAGCTTTCTAACTTTCGACGGCTTCTTCTTCTCCAATGAGGCTCCCACGTGTTCCTGCCGACCTTTGATGAAGCAAAGATTTTCCTTTTGGTTTTGGTTTCGAGCGTTTGTGGCCTTGGTTTTCTGATGTTTTTGGCTTGGTTTGCTGTTTAGTTTCTTTCGATTTCCCTTTTGTCGAATATTAATTTTTTTGTGGTTTTCATGATTGTATATCTGCTTGTGCTCTCGATTTTTTCTCCCCCTTCCAATGGATTTGCAGGTATATATATATATATAACCCCTCGTCAAGGTTGTTTTCCCTCTAAATCGGTGATGTTGCAGTCCCGGTTATTGTGGGATTCTTGATTTTTGTTTCAGTTGGACTTTGTCGCCATGTTTGCCGAGAAAACCGAGGGAAGTTTTCACCTATTTGCCTCCGTTTCGTTCTTAGGATTCCGACTGGTTGGTCACCGAAAACTAACTTGGGATTCTCAGCCTCACGCGTTCTTTGCTATTTCCCGTGCAGCGCCTTTGCTAAGTCCTTAATTCTGTTGGGTCAGGCATATGTGCTTAGCTGGGCCTCCACCGGCTTGCTGGGTCAGGATACCTGGTTGGGGCTCCCTTGATGGACCTAAATTTGGACCTTGCTGGACCCTTGGTGGACTTGAATTTAATTTGCACCTAAAATAATAATTAAATAATAAATAATATAATATATAATATATATAATATAATAATATACTATATAATTATATAAATAATATATACTATATAATAATATATAATACTATATACTGTGTAAATACTATAATATATATATATATATATATAATACCATACCATATAATATATATAAAATAATATATAATATAATATAATATAATATAATAAAAGGAAGCCGGATGAAAATGAGTGTCTACACCATAAAATCAATATTTTTGGATGATTATAAGATTCAAATATGGAACACTTTAAATTAATGACCGAAAGCTTAGCCACTCAACTATAGTGTAAAGTTTTATATTATATTGAATGTAATACTTACTTATATAATTATTAAATTAAAAGACTAATTTTTCACTCTATTTAGAAAAAACTTATATATATATTTTTATAAAAATTTATGTGAAATCATTATAAAAAAGTATATTTATAATATTATAAAATATTCATTTAATATTTAAAATCAAATTAATTAATTATTTTAAATAATATTAATTTTAAATTATCTATTTAATTTTAAATAAATTAAAATTTAAGATAAATTATACGTTTAGTATCTAACTATCACTTTGATACCGTATAATATTATTTAAAATTAAATAGATAATTTAGAAATAATATTATTTCAAATAAATAAATAAATAATATGATTTTAAAAATTTAAAACAATATTTTAAAATATTTTTATAATATTATAAATATGCTTTTTAAAATAATTTTATATAAATTTTACAAATAAATAAAAATAATTAATTAATTATTTTTTATTTCTAAATAAAATAAAAATATTATTTAATTTCATAATAATATAACTAACTACTAAATTTGATATAATAAAAATAGATTCACATTATAATTGAATGACTAAGCTTTTGATCACTAATTTAAAGTGTCACATATTCAAATTTTGTAATTATAAAAAATATTGATTTTATGATGATGCACTGATACTATTATATAAATTAAATACAAAATTTGGTGATGACTAACTTAATTGAGTGGTTTGAGTGTCTTGCATTTCATTTAAGAGGCCTAAGTTCAATTCAAGCTAAGAGCAAAAATAACTTCTTTTATTTTGTCCCATAGCTGGTGACACATGTCACCATTTAAGTGGTTGAATAAAATTAATTAAAAAATGTTGACAGAGAAATAGAAAGGTGATGTGGAAATTTAAAAAAATTGGCATGTTATGCCACATCAGTATTGTTGTTAATTGTTTTGGAAAAATAAAGTTTAAATACTAAAATGAAATAAAATGATAACATAAGAACTAAACATATAATTTTTATCTTTTTAATATTTACTTAATAAGAAAAATCTAGTTAGTTGTGTGTTTTGGTGTATCGGTTTAGTAGTGTATTACGGTATGCGACATGCGTTATAAACTCATCCTAAGTCATATTATCAAAAGTGATAATGTGATATATATCATTTCATCATCACAATATCACATAATAAGATAAAACTTAGTATTATGTTTGAATAAATTACTTTTTTTATTAATTTTCATACTATATATAAATCTAAATTTAATCATTGTTTATATTTAAATATTTTCAAATTAAAATTTTAATCTTAATTTAAGTAGTAATCATTAAATTTGCTAAATTAATTTTTATTATTAATTCATGCATAAGTGTAAATTGTAGATTTAGTTCATATTCCATATCCACGAATTATTTGAAACATGATTAAATTTTTTAAACTAAAAAAATATAAAGACTGAACTTAATCAAATTAGAATATATAGACAAAATCTGTAATTTATACATAAAATATGTATTAACAACAGAATTTAACCATCGTCTTATCTCTCATCATAATACTTGTATATTTTAATTTATACATAATATTTGGTTAAACTTAACGTTGATAGGGCCTTTGATCTTCGGATTGATACGACGATTAGGAATGTTCAAATCTAAGTACTCGTATTTTCGGGTAATATGATAACTCATAGTATTGTAATTTTATTCATGCTATTGATCTTCGATTCACTTGTGAGCATGATTAGACTCGTGTGATCATCGAAACAGATTCAACCTTGACTATTAATAAACTAGTCCGTACTAGTGAAGACTCGTCTTTCAATTCTCATCTGGACACTGTTCGTAGAATCCTCGCTCTACATAGCTATTACAAATCTTTATTAGTTTGTCTGCTGATATGGTAGCTCATAACCTTGCTACTTAGGCTATTTGTAATTCCAGCCTATGTTTTTTGAGTTGTTTGTCTCAATATTATTTATTTCTAGGTTAAATTATGAGTTTAATACCTAAACTATTAGTTTTGATTTGTTTTAGTGTTTAAACTTTTATTTTATTTTCATAATCATACCTAAGATTTAGTTATTCTTTCATTTTAGTACCTCACAGTTAAAAATTTAATGTGACATTTACACCTGATACCTTTTTATGGGTAAATCATATCATTCATCACCCAATTATCTTCTTACTCCTATTTTGGTAACTAATTTTTTAAATTTAATTTAATTACTTAACTTTCAAATTACTCCTAATTTAATCACTATAATTTTTAAATTTATTTTAATAAAATGTAATGTCACAAAAAGTATTAATAAAATAATTTATAGTGATTAAAATAAGAGCAATTTGAAAGTTGAGTAATTAAATTAGAAATTTTTAAACTTTAATATCAAAATAGGAGCGAGAAGATAATTGAGTGATGAATGGTGTAATTTACCCATAAAAATGCAACGCCATATACTAAAATGAAACGAAAACTAAATGTTAGATGTGATTTTAAAAAATTAAAAGTTGGAGTATTAAAATAGACCAAAACTAATAATTTAAACAGTAAATACATAATTTATCCTTATTTCAAATGAAGAATTAAGCGATGTATATCCTCCTTGATTTATTAAATTTAGTTTCGGGTACCTTTTTGTATAGGTCGAGTTTTTATGTTAATGAGGATAGATTTTTAAGGAGGCCCCCTTTTCCGGAAAAAACAAGTGAAGTCTCTTAAAAGTTCAAATATCTCTTTGGCGGGAAATATTTTGTACTATTTCTCCTCATCAATATATATATATATATATATATATCCCTCACTTTCTCGGCCATCAAACACTGGAATTCGCATCCAGAAATTGTGAACATGTCGTCATTCGATTACCCCGTACTCTCACGTGCTGACATTATCTCAATCCTGGCGGAGTCACAGATCGCCGCCGTCACCGACAACGATTTCAAGAATATCAAACCCGATTTCGTCTCTAATCTCTACACGCGCCTCCTAATCTACCTCGACGCTCTCAACGAGTCCGCTCATTTCCCCCACAAAAGCAAATTCCTTCCTTCTTCTCTTTCCCCTTTCTTAAAATTAATTTTTATTTTTATTTTCAGGGAAGACCAAGGGCAAGTAGAGTTTTCAGCACTTGAACAAATTGAGAACCCGGATCTTCTAATTGGGTCATTCCAGATTATAAATTTGTACTGCAGGCTAAGAGAAGTGATGGAGTCTCTTAAATGTCCGATGCCTTTTAACCTTAGGGATTTGGTTAAACCTGACCCGCGTCGGACAGAGCATTTCCTCAGCGCAATCCTCAATTTCTGTCTTTACAAGTACGTATGTTCTGACTTTAATTTTTTTTATTTAGATTCACTTCGATTTAGTTGCGTAAAAAAGGGGAACATGTGGTATTACATTGTTATGCCATTTAATAATGGTCAGTTTTAGAAACGAGAAATTGTTACATAGCCCTCTTTAATCAGGTCAGTTGTAGGTTCAAGTACTCTGGTTGTGAAATGTTCATTTAAGTATACTATGTCAGCGTAGATCACAGATGGTTTCATAATTCCAATAATCTGAAATGTTATTATCAAGTTTTGGATCCTTGTAATTGGAGGAAAAACTTAAATGATGCGCCACTTTGCGATATTTTGGGATGATTGATATATCATTCCGCTATACGAGAACATATTTGTTTCTGATGTCTTGTTTTGATTGTCAATGCTAAGATGGCAGGGTTGTGCCCACTTTGAGACATTGTCTGCTTTGAGGGTCTAAAGATTGTTCTCATGGCTTTGTCCTTTGAGAAAAGGAGTCTTGACAAAGCAAGAGTGATGAGGTGGGATACCTAAACAGCTATAATTTGAAAGAAGAGGACAGAAGTAATTGAAGGAATAAATGAAAAGGGTTATGGGTTATTTAAAATATCTTAATGATAATTAAAAAACTGATCCTATTAACCCTTTATTAGAGTATTTAAAATAGAACTCTTACTAAGCGTCCTATGCTTAATCACATGACACGTTAGATATTTAATTAAAAAAAATATACAAAACATATACTCAAATAAAAATAATGTAAACCACAAAAATAATTAAACTAAATTCGATGCTCCTGCATGAAAGAGTGGCCCTTGTTTACGGGACCCCAATCTTTAACCAGTAGATGTTGCATTACTTTAGAACACTAGCCCCTTAGACAAGGGTGTAGATCATGTTTCTGCAGAGAGCTAGTACAAATCCAAATTTGATGCTGATGCGTAGGATTGCTGGATTGTGGCTGTTATAAGATGTTCTCAGCTTTGGAGTTATAGAAACTGCCTCCGGTTTTGTCTTTCTTGAAAAGGGGAATTGAAGTGGATGTGTGACCTTTGCTTTATAAACCTCAGTCTAATCAATACAGGATCATTTTCTCCTTCACATAGACCTTACCCTTGTTACGGTCTAACTTGCATAATGATCTTTATGGGTTAGAGCAGACGTCTTTGGTGATTATTAGAACATTATCAAGCTGTAGTTTTAAAGAAAAGTTGTGACAATTCATGCACGATGATCCATATAACAGCTTTTCCTATCTTTTTGTTCTTTACTAATGCTCTTGGTATGAAGGTTGTAAATTGGTTATTGAAGACATCTATTGGAGTAGATGTAGACATGAGCAAATGGAAGCGGGTTAACACCTTTTCTTTTGGTATATGTATATAGTCATAATCCCAATTTTCTTAGATTATTCCTCTTCTCAGACAGTCATTTATTAGAAATTCTGGTTCCCAACCAAATGTTCATCACAGAAATTTCCTTTAATCAGTTCTCCAATCTTTTCCAACCTTTCACACGTTAAGTTATTCTGTTTGTTGGTTTCCATCTTAGAGAAACAAAAATGAATCTTCTAAGACCGATCGTAGAGGAACTGGCCCTTCTAGATGATCAGCGGAAGGAGCAGGAGACTAAGATTTCTCAGGTATTTGAAGAATGACTTGCGATACTTTACCGTAAAGATCAATTTTCACCGTATCTCTGCCATGCAGTTGAATGCAGAGATTGCAGGTTATAGTGAAGCAAAAGAAAGAGAGTTACCCCTAGTTCAAGAGGTAGAATCAAAAGTTAAAGAATTGCGTGAGATGATTGCTGTCTTCAACAGTAATCAGATGTCACTGAGAACTTCTATTCGGAATTTGAAAGAGAAGAATGGGCAAATGGATGAGAAGGTTAGATTCTTATCACCTCTTGCTAAAGCTTTATTTCACTGATTTAGGCATGACTGACAAGTGCTCAACTTTGTGCCGAGAGTTAACCTATCTATGGTTTTTGGTCGACATTGAACATAATACTTATACTCAAACTTGATCATCATACATGCTTAGATTTTATCTGTCATCTGCGTATAAATTTTGGTCAACCAAAGGTTTTTGCTGTATTTTCACCTAATTGCCTTGTGTCTTTGAACCTAAAGGATTTTTCATAGTAGTGTTCAATCTTGGTTCCTATTAAAATGATGAGATACATACATCATATTTTTCATTTGCGTGGAGGATCTTCTATATTTTATGGTTACACCACCATTATTTCCATTTCCCAAATAACTGTTTTAAAGTTTTAGGTTCACTTTGACTTTTGCTTTTGTGTGCATTATAGTTTCCCCTCTTTAAGCGTTAGTGTTAGCTAATATTGCTTTTTATATTGACATGCCTTCTCTTTACAGATTTCTAAGGCCGAGTTTGACCTGGTTCAGAGTGTACAAGAAAATGCAAATCTACGTTCAAAAATAGTTCAGTCACCAGATAAAATACAGGTGCATATCCCTTTTTATTAAGTTTAACTTTGATAATTATGGCTTAGATATGTAAAGCATTGCTGTTATTGATTCTCAAACCTTGTCTACATGCTAATGATACCATTCCAAATGGGATTCTCGTAAATAGAAAGGGAGGTTTCTGTATTTATGTATGTATTTAGAATAGATAAAACATTATTTACTTATTTAATTTTGTACCTGTGGTATTATGCAATTACACTTTCAGTCTCGGGATTTTCGAAATTCTTCCTAGTTATTGACTTCTATAGACGAAGCAGTTTTTTTCTTTTCTTTTTAAATGCCCAGTTGGAGGTTTTAAAACTATTAAATTATGATGGAAAATTCTAAGTATTTATTGACTTCTATATTGGAAACAGTTTTTTGTTTTCTAATGTTCAGTTGGGTAGTTTTAATACCATTAAATTGACTTTCACTTTAGAAATTTGACGCTAAATAGTAAGGTTGAAAAGGTGCAGGAAAGTTTACTTGTTAAAAACATTTTTTTCTTCCGTAATTTAATGCTCCATTTTTTATGAGAAACTATTATGTTGCAACTTGTTTAAAGCCTAAATATCTCCTTGCCCACGAATGGAAAAATATTTTATAAAAACTACTTATAGTTTTTCTTTTGCTGAATGTTGATCTGATGCACCTATTTAACGTCTCACCAAACATTCGTAAATTGTTGAAGCTTGAGACAACATTGCTTGGAAAAGTGAATGTGAATTTGTTTGGCCTGTAATCCTCTTGTTATGCCCATGGGTCTAAATATATGCTTTGTCTAAGGCAGCCAGCTTACACTGATGCACATTACACATAGCTGTCCTCTTTGCTGTGGCCTAAATTTTACCTGACATGCATTACTAGGCCATCTTGTATAAAAGGCCATTAAACAGAACCATGCTCCATCATAACTTAATTGTCCTGCTACCATATATATGTTTGCGTACCCCTATTAATATGTTTCCTATCATATCACTGCTTGTAAATTTTTAGACCCGAAACCACCTTTATATTACTGTAACATTATTGCCAATAAAACTTAGATATAATTCTTAAACTCTATTTTATTTTCTTTCCTTGTTTGGTTGTAGGTGACTTTTTCTCAAGCCCTATTATTAGCTATTACTTTCCTCACACACTTTTTATTTACTCATTATTTTAATCTTTGTTAAAACCATGGAATTACTCGCATATCAGATTTGGCACCTTTCATTTTCTTATCACATCGATCGAGGTGTCTACACTTGTAAATGTCCCTATTATGCAAAAATTCAGTTTTGGTTCAAGTTTGATTTTAGTCTTACAGCCATATGAAAAGTGCAATGATCACTTTATATAACAAAATATAATGCCAATCACTTTTCTCTATTAGTTTGCCTTGTTGATTGGGGTATTTAATGTTGGGTTGAATTGATTTGTTATTCGCCCGTGGATGTTATGATTGTCCTGTTCACTAAAACATTATTTTCTATGTTTTGTTCTTTGTATTGGGGTATTTAATGTTGGGTTGAATTGATTTGTTATTCGCCCGTGGATGTTATGATTGTCCTGTTCACTAAAACATTATTTTCTATGTTTTGTTCTTTGTATTTTCTTTTTTTTTTTTCTATTGAAAGAGAGCTTTAGAGGAGAAGAAATTAGCAAGAGATGATGCAAAGAATGCAGAAAGGTCAGCTATGGAGTCTTTTCAACATAAAACTGCTACTGTTGAGGTCTATAGCAAGGTATGCTTTCATTATTTGCTCAATGCTATTCAATTATGTAGAACGATAATTTACTTAAAAAATAAACTGTTTTTAATTCCATATCTCAATCAATAGTTACAACAGAGCTTTTATACAAAATATTACTAAGAGTCTTGGCTGAGGTAAGAGTTCTAGCTAGGTTAGAAGTTGTCTCTATCTATAATAAAAAACTAGAATTAAAAAATAAATTCTAATAAAACTAAAACTCCTATACGTAATATAACTCACACTCTCCCTCAAGCTAGAGAGTATATATTATAAAGACCCAATTTGGATGCGATCTTGTCGAAATTTATCCTTGGAAGCGCCTTAGTCTAGACATAGACTAGTTGATATTTTGAAGATACATAATTCAGGTTTACTGTTTCACCATTCACCTTCTCAACAATGAAGTGTCTATCGATCTCCACATGTTTAGTTCAATCATGTTGTACTGGATTCTTAGCAATACTTATGGCTGACTTGTTGAAAAAGGGTAATCGACAGAGTTGAGAATATTTTTGATAAAGGGTAATTGGCAAAGTGGAGAGAAACATCTCAATCGTATATTGATTAGAGAAAAATACATCTTACTTTATACACAAAGTTAGTAGTAAGTCTTCTTATATTCTAGCTTTGTTCCGGTTCATGAGACTGTTAATGTTTTGTAGGAGACACAGGTTAAGGTTCGGAAGTAGACTCAGGTATTGGTTTTGTCTTCTCTGGCAGAACATTAACTTGGTTTTTTCGGTTGGAGGTGAAGTAAGCTAGTTTGGTGATGCTGGTTGGGAAGGAGTCGGTATTTTGATTTTTGTTGGGTTTGGCAATGAAGGCATGTATGGAGGAAGCATATTTTTTCGGTCTAAGGGTGGTTGATCCGGTGGTGTGGTGGGTTGGATTAATGTGGCTGATTTAATGTTTCTGGTTGGTTCCCATAAGATGGTTGAACTGACTGGAATTCACTGTAAGATTCCCATTGAATTACAGTTTTATGGAAAAAGGAGTTTTCTCAAAGAAGGTGACATCCATTCTAACAAAAAATTTCTTAGTTCGAGGATAGTAACATCAAAAACCTTTTTGAGTAGAAGAATAACCAAGAAACACACACCTAAAAGCTCGAGGATCTAGTTTGGAACGAGAATGAACATTATTATGGACAAAGACAGTATACCTAAAGACACAAAGTGGTAAAGATGAAGTCATAGGTTTAAAGTTAGGAAAAAAATTGAAGAAATACCTCTCGTGGACTCTGAAAATTTAAGGGTTTGCTAGGTAGGTGATTATTCAAGTATGTGGCAATTAAAAGAGCATCCCCAAAAATAACGAAGACCATTTGTAGAGAACAAGAGAGACTGGGTGACTTCTAAAAGATGTCTATTTTTCCGCTCGATTACCTCATTTTGTTGAGGAGAGTTGACACACAAAGTGATATGAACAATCCTTTTTACCTGAAAGAAAGATCCTAAAAACTTGGCAAAATATTCACTGCTATTGTCCGAATGAAATATGTGGATTAAACTCCAAAATTGATTTTCAATCATCTTACGGAACCTTTTAAAGATTTCACTAACCTCGGATTTTGTTTTCATGTGGTATGTCAAAGTGGTTCGAGTGTGATCATCGATGAAAGAGATAAACCACCAAAAACCATCTATTGTTTCTACTCGGAAGGGTCCCCAAATGTCACTGTGAATCATTGCAAATGGTTTGGATGATTTGTATGACAAAGGTGGGTAAATATTTTTGGTTTGTTTTGCAAGAGGACAAACATCACATGAAAAAACTTTTAAACTTTTATTGATAAATAAATGGGGAAAAACTTTGCAAGATAAAAGAAACTCGGGTGTCCTAAGCGAAAATGCAATAACATAACATCGGTGGATGTATCTACCAAGGTGGCTTGTGATGCAAGGTTGGAAGGGAGATGTTATTTGATGGTTACCGGAAGTAAGTAAAGCCCCCCATAAAGCTTAGCACTCCCAATCACCTTCCAGGAGCTTGAATCTTGAAATTCATGAACATCAGAGTCAAATATTGTGGTACATCTTAAATCGACAGATAACTTGCTAATGGAAATAAGATTGCAAGCAAGATTTAGAACATAAAGAACATGTGATAATAGAATATTTGGATTAATCTGAATAGTCCCATATCCAACATGCGAAAGAGAACATTAGCTGTTCTAATATGAGAAATATATGAGTACCTATTGATGAATTGAAAGAGTTAGAGATCACTTGCACCAGAATCCACAATCCACATAGGAGTGTCGGATTTGTGAGCCAGAGTAGCAAAGGACATGCTACCTTTAGGAGAGGAAGGTGTCGGTGTAGAAGGATGTAGTTTGCCAAAGAGCTGTTGCAATTCTTCTATTTTTTTGTACCAAACGAACTTCCCTTCTTATAGTAATCACACCAAGGTCGCCCTTTCTTAGGTTGAGAGTTATTGGCAAGAATTGGGTGAGGCGAGGGAGAGATGACTTACGAGATGACATGTGATGAAGAAGCGACAGTCATGTTGAATGTTGGTAGGTTAGAGAATTTCTGGAATCAAAGGCTGGTTTTTATCGAACCTTAAAAACTGTCGCAACAAACGATGGTAGAGGGTAAATTTAGGGCTACTCTGGCGTGGCGAAGAAGGCAGCGCTAAATGCTGCGAAGATGACGGCTCAGTGAGGAAGTCACCAACGGTGGCGCTGTAACAAGAGTTGCACAAAAAGGAAGATGACGAGGGTAAATTTAGGGCTACTCTGAGGGTTGCACGGACTGGGTGACGAAAAGGCAGTGCTGTGTCTATGATTGCATTATTGGCTGGAGATTTGTCAAACGGCGACAGGAGTAAATTTAGGGTCGACGTCGGTAACTGATACTATGTAGTTTAATGAGAAAGTGTATTCACAAAAAATATAGTTTAATGAGAAAGAGTATTCACGAAAAATAATTCTCTCAAAATTACATTTGAATAGATGAGTACACGCCTATTTTTATACAATTCATATAGAGTTGGTTTCATACTAGAACTATACTACCTTGTAGAGTTTTATTTTAATACAATATGCTAATAATTAGGATTAGAATTAGAATTAATCTAGGTAACCCTATACAATCGTACAACTAACAGTTAATTCCCCTGCCCAACTTAAATCCGAAAAAATTCTTACTATTCTATCATCACTTTTTTTTTTGAAAATTAACTCATGTCCTGGTGTTATTTTCAAATATCTTAGAATTCTATTCATAGCCTCTAAATGTTCTTCCATCGGGTCATTCATATATTGGCTCACTATGTTGACAAGAAACGCAATGTCAGATCTTGTAAGTGACAAATAAATTAGTTTATCTACTAACCTTTGACATTCTTCTTTGTTTACGGGACATTCAAATTCTTCTCTCCTTAGCTTTATATTTACTTCCATGGGAGTTTTTACTGGTGTGTTCCCTTTCATTTCAATTTCTGATAGTAGATCAAGAATATATTTCCTTTGATTGATCACTGTTCTTCTTTCGTCCTTGCAACCTCCATCCCTAAGAAATATCGCAAGGTACCTAAGTCTTTGGTTTCGAATTCTTTTTCCAATAGCTTCTTTAGTCTTTTTATCTCCATAGAATCATCACGAGTTAGAATGATATCATCCGCATAGACAATCAAAATTGCCTTTTTGTTGTTCGAAGCTGTTTTGACAAATAACGTGTGATCCGATTGACATTGCTTGTAACCATCTTGAATAATCACCTTTGTAAATCTATCAAACCAAGCTCTTGGAGATTGCTTAAGTCTATACAAGGACTTTAATCTTAATGTTAGTAGAATGCACATTTCTATCAGTTTCATGTAGGAGTTGGAGTTAAACAATTGCAAACTTCACCTTTTTTACAAGATCTAGCTCCTTGTTGTTTGTATCTTGCGCTTCTTGCTTCACTCTTTGCCTTTTGTACCTTGTGATGTTGGAAACATCTAGTATCAAGTATTACTCTCATAAGCTAGGATTCTGTTTGGAGCTTTGGACTGATATAATATGAGTTGAGAATTTGAGATTGTAGAATTACTAAGGAATGAGAAAGAGAGATGTCACACGAAGAAAGAACAGATAATCTGTTTGAATTGCTTATTGAAAAGAAGAAAGCAACTTATTTTTAATAGGATGAAAATTACAATAGTAGAAAACAACTAGGTATTTTTTCCTAATCTTTATCTCTTGAAAATGCTTTTTATATTTTCTTAAGAAGATAAAACCTAATCATAAAAATTTTAAGTAAATTACAATAGAAAATAGAATTTAGGATAATCTAGAATTTCTTATATTGATAGATTTCCTAATCTTGACAGTTTTCCACAGTCCCCTCAAGCTGGGTTGTAAATGTTATACAAATCTAGCTCGTCCTTGAATCTATCAAAGCTCGTCCTTGGAAGGGCTTTGGTAAGAATATTAGCTAACTGCTATTGAGTAGGGATATAATTTAGTTCCACAGTCCCATTGTTGACTTTTGTAGAAATAAAATGTGGGTCAATCTCCGCATATATTGTCCGATCACGATGAACGCAATACTTAAGGTTGATTAATTGTTACTTTGTATCTTGTAGTGATCATTTGAATCAACCTTTAACTGTTTCAGCAGTCTTTTAATCCAAATTCCTTCACAAATTCTTGAAGCAAGCAAGTGCTTGAAATTCAGCCTCCGCATTAGGAACTACGTACTGTTTCTTGCTTCTCTATGTTACTAAATTGTCCCAGACAATAAAGCAATAGCCATTCGTAAACTTTCTTTTAGTTAATTCTCCAATTCAACTTGCATTAGTGTATACTTCCATATTATGGTTTTCACACCTTTTAAACAGTAATCGGTGTCATGCAGTCATTTTAGGGTATCTTAAAATTCGGTTAATAGCCTCTAGATGTTTTTCACATGGATCATTAATATGTTAAATGACAATGCTTATTGAGTTTGCAATGTCTGATCTTGTATGTGAGACAGATTAGCTTGCCAACTAATCTTTGGTGTTACCTTTGGTGGAGGATTTTTGGCTTGGAAAAGTAGGGGAAGAAGGGTTTAAAGAGGGAGGAAGAAGAAGAGTGAAAGGGGACAAGCTTTTGCACCTATTTTTCCCATATAAAACAACTTCAAATCAGATAAAAAATTTCCTTTTTATCACACTTTTCGGTCAATTTCCATCTAATTAGACCCAATCTCTAATCCAATAAGCACTCGAGTCAACACGAGTTCGGATTACAATAGGAGTGGCTTGGTTTTCCATTATGTATTGATAGTGATAACCTAGCTTATACCATGTAGAATTACCAAGGAATAAGAAAGAGCGTGAAGAAGGAACAAAGAATCTGTTTGAATTGCTTTCTGAAAAGAAGTATGTTTTAAATAGGATGAAAATCACAGTAGTAGAATACAACTAGGTATCTTTTCCTAACCTTTATCTCCTAAAAATTTATTTTATCTTCTTAAAAAGATGAAACCTAATTATAAAATATAAATAAATTACAATTAGAAAATAAAATTTAGGACAAACTAAAATTCCTTATCTTGATAGGTTTGCTAATCTCAGCATTCCACAAAGATGTACGCTTATCCACACGCATGCATTTGAGTTATGAACAGATTTGTCTATCATTGGGGTATCAAACTTTAATTTTCCATTAGAAAGCTTGTTTCTATATTCTTTCATAATGTTAATGAATTTGTGTATCTATTAGCAATCAAAGTACGTTTTTCCTTCTCAAGTTTCAACGATAATTGGTTGACACGATGAGAAGAAAGACAGTATATTCTTTCTTTTCTTTTTCTTTCAAATAGCAGAATGAAATACTACATGTTAATTAGAAATCAGAAGAGCCAACTATACATGTATATTCAGAAAGGTAAATATATGGAAAAGTATTATAGTGCATGGGCATCTATTCAACATGCGTACATTATGAACTTTAAATGGTAGAGGAAGATTATAACTAATTATTGATATTGGGTGTTGCCACAGGCTCTTAAGAAAATGTCGAAGCACTTTGCCTTGATGCAAGCTATACATGAACAGGTACACTGACCATGGACCAGATCCCCGTATGTGTCTATTCTTTAAAACTGTGTAGTAATGTGATACGATTACGTTACCCTCCGGCCTCTACTTTTATGTTTTCTATGGCTTATCTTTTGGAACAAAATCCACCCATCCCCTCACCCAACCAGGATTTTTAATTAAATGTCAGTTGTTTTAGCTTCCAATAAAATTGCCACTCTTTGGACTATTGAATAACTTCTTAAAAGGAAAGATTTTGATTTTTGAATGCTAGCCATTTTACCTTGCATGAGGACTACTTAATATGCTAAGTACCTTGTTTATCGCATTGTTCATTTTAATAGGTGAATTCCGCAAAATCAGTTGAAAAAGAATGCAAGAGTATGAAAGCTAAGTTAGGTGATGATGCAGTGTTAGACAAGTCACTCGAGGCTAAACTGATTGAACGGCAAGGAAAAGGCAGGTTCTTATTAAAGTTGTGTTGCGTTATTGTGGTTCATTTTTAAATCACTTCGTAGATGCTTAAACCTTTAGTTTATTCTTTCACGGTTTCACCAGTTGGACAGTTGGAAGAACACTTAAGGCAGTTACAGAAAGAAAGAGATCTCAAGTTTGAGGAATCTACTAAACATTTGAACAGTGTGAAGTCAGAGTTGTTGTCTAAGCGGCGTGAGCTGGAAGCAAGGCAAAAGAAGGTTGAAGATGTGGTGACAGAGGTAATCCTCGTGTCTTCTTATTGCAAAGTACGAATATGTCTCGACTTTCTACCAGAAGTTGCTCAACCTCTAAACTCCTTTTTTATATTTCTTGCACTTAATAGGTGGACTCCATTACATTAAAGACCAGTATCGTAAAAGAATCTGGAGCTGCTAAAGTTCAACAGTTAATTAGTAAAAGTGAAGAGCTTGTAAAACAGGTACTATATCGTTTATATTAACCTTAACGTGTCTGCATGCTTGTTCTTAGGTTTTTATTGCTGTTGTTGTTCAGCTATCCACATCTGTGTTATCTCATGCTGAGTTCACTTTCTTTAGTTAATATAAGAAGGCTTGAAAATTTTAAACTCGAGCTGAAAGTGGCCTAAATGATGATGTGAGTGCAGTTTCAAGAATATTCATCCTCTATTGGACTCCTATTGCCAGTGGATGAGAGTGGGACCAAGCAACTTGATTCAGTAGCAATAATCAGCATTTAACTTGCATTTCAGGATGCCACTCTATTGTGAAATGCATTTTCTCGGAGATGTAAGTTATTACTTCTTGCAGTGACTTTTCGTGGTATTATGTAGAGATATGTAAAGGTTGTGGTGTTGCCCTTTCGCATGTTTGTTGTTGCTAAGCTGATGTGTTGTGTAGGCATAAAGATAATGATGGAATCATAACCGAATATGATTTTTCTATTTCTAGTGAAACCTGCAAATAAAAATTAGTAGAGTTTATTTTAGGCTTAATATCAAAATAAGTGATCAAATTATAGCGCTTTTCACGAATAGGTGTCTAAAGTATTTTTTGACTCATCTCGGTGTCTAACGTTATAAACGTTATCATTTTAGGTGCCCGGGTTGTTAACGGAGTTAATTTCTTCATAAAATCCCCAAATCCTAACTTTAACTTGTTGTCACCACCCTTTTTAGCTACAAATAGCTCAAGGTACTAACTTGTGAATAAAAACATCCGAATGTTAAGCTTAGAAAGCTGAATAATATAATTGCTAATCTAGAGTATGCAACACCCATTTCCAGTATACGTCCCCGTATACGAGTCATAGATGTCACATGACTTTTAAAACATTTTCGTATTTGAAAACCAATAATTTTTTTTTCTTTAAATAAAACAATTTAATAATATAGTTTATAAAACATTCTTCAAATACACACACACATATATATTAAATATGTCTACTCAAATTAATAATATTGGTTCATATTATTCATATTTAAAATAGCATAAAATGATTCAGTTTATCCATTACAAACCAATTTCCAAAATGGTTAAACAGAGCTAATAGGATATTTGTAAGTACATGCCACTAAACTAAGTTAAAATTACATCATAGGATGCCTTAATGATATTGTAGTATAATTCTTGATGCTTGGAGTTGCTCTGTACTCTTTACTTATAATATTGGGTTTTACCTGTGCGTGAAAATCATCACACGCTAAGTTTATACTTAGTGAGGTATAATAATATAAACAAGGCGTAACCAAAACATAAAAACATCAAAATATGAATTTAATTGTATAAATAATAGTAATACATAAAACTAACTTGGTAAACCAAATTTCTTTCACATAATCTGCGAAACAAGATTTAGTATGTCCAATATACCTATCAATCAGTATTTTTTCAAAGTATCCATTTATTTGCCCAATGTATGTCTAATGAGAATGCAAGGTACATGAGTTTCACCTAAGTGCTAAACGAAAGTATAGGTTATGTGGTGACAACAACACTATACTAAGGTAACGAAATGGTAATTCACAAACTCATTATGAATACCATGGGTGCACACATAGTGTCGAAAGTACTAATATGAAAATGCAACATATGCATTAAACAAAATCGATTGATAACCATCATATACAAAGTATGTCGAAATACACCTATGACTCTCAATGCACATACAATAGGCCTTTAAATCAAATTCGTAGATTAAACATTTATTCTAAAACATCGATAGCTGTTAAAACAATATAAAAGTTCATCAATCTATTTTAGAGTAGTTCATACTCTAAAATTATTCGTAAAATCATTTTCATAAATTTTATGAAAATATTTCAAAATACGATAAAACCTGCTTTTATAAAAACATTCGAGGTTGACTCATCACAAGTCGTCCTCATATCATATAAGTACATAATAAATGCACTCACCTTGACACTTTATATATCTAAAGATGTGTCTCACTATATTCCACACTAGGTTCATTTATATTCGATTTGCTTTGATCACAAAACTCAATCACAATCTGTACAAAATCATAAATTGATGTCGATACATATGTTAGTGTTATCTAACATAATCACATCTCCAAAACAAAATCCATAATACACTTGGAACTTATTTTCTATACCACTTAATAATTCCTTTTAATATTGGCACCAACTTTTCCAATTTAGACAAAATGGCCCTTCACTAATTTATCACTTAAATTTTAATACAAAATTTCCAACATTGAAACTATTACCATCCAAGTGCTTTTACAAGGTACAATTACATTTGAGCACCCTAGCTATACGAATATTGCACTTAGACCACCAAGCTTTTCAAACTTCCAAAATGGTCTTATTTCACATCCTAGCACTCATTTCAATTCCAAAACAGTAATTTCCAGCATGGTACATCAACTATTATACAATTACACAATGATTCACAACTTTTCCAAATTTTTTGAATTGGTCCCCTAACTTTTCAAAATTTATAGAATGGTCCCCAATTTTTTCTAAGGCTTGTAACATACTTCCTACACCAATTCCAACCCTTTTATAATGTTTCCATATTTTTTCTCACTCAACAATACCATGGCCGAATGCTTTAACCTTTAAATCTAGGTTTTCATGATTTTGCTCGATTTTGATTCTATTCAAGCATGAAATCAACTTTCAAACAACTTTACAACATCTCTATAATCAAATCCCTAATCAACATTCATCAAAACACAAAGTTCTACAATTTCCTCTTTTAACTGAAAATCATAGAATACTTTCTAAAAAGTTTGAACATGTTCTAATAATAAATCAAGCTTGAAAATGAATCTACAACCTATAAATCATCAAAATTTATCATTAATTTCATGAACTCTAGTGTGAACACAAACCCTAAGATTTGGAATCTTTGAAATCAAGCTAGTTGAGCAAACATAATTGGTACCAAAAGTTAACGTTTTTCGAATAGATCATTTTCAATTTTATGGCATAACTTGAAATCCAAATAAAATAGCTCAAAAATGGAAACCAAATTTTTTTCTCTTACCTTTGGAAGCTCACGGCAAACTTGGAGAAGATGATAACAATTTGGCATGAATTTTAGATAATTTCATGCTTAATTTTATCTTAATTTAACTTTAATGAATATTAAATTCATTAAATTGGGAAAAGATCAATTTACCCTTAATGAAACTTCATATTTACCATACAACCAAGACACCTCAACCTTATCATCTTCTTAAAGTCAAAGATGGACAAACAAAATCTTACTTTATCGATTTGCCCTTATCTTTTTCCAAAAATTACAATCTTGCCACCAACGATCCATATTAAACATGAAATTAAATCCTAAAATCCAAAGATTTACATTATTTTCCAACATTTTAAAATGTGAAAATAATATTTTTAGTTCTAAATTATCATCCTTCAGATTTTACTGAATTTTTTATTCGATCCGATTTACCGAATTTTTTTCCTCAAACTTCATCTCTTTATAACTTTTAATAAAAAATCCGTACAAAAATTATGATTACCACATAAATGTTATTCTTGAGATAAACTATTTATTTACAAGGCCAAAATGTAACTTTTTAAAATTACCATATTGGTCCCTAAACTTTTTAAACTTTATACTTTGGTCACAAAACTTTCAAAATTTGCATTTTGGTCATTAACCAAATCCATTTATGGAAGAAAATTCTTCTTGAGAAAAATTACCACTTAGGTCCTTAAACGTTTCTCAATTCTTTACTTTGATCATCAAACTTTCAAAATTTACATTTTGGTCACTATCTAAAAATTTGGAGTATTACAGAGTAACATTATGAGTCTCATAAACATAAGCACACTAGAAGACATGGTAATAAGAAGTAGGTATAGTACATGCATGATCAAAATCAAGTGCTACATACTCAAGGTTCAACTATGTTATCACTATAGTAAGAGTTTCTATTAAGGGCTTCACCATGAGTGTACTTCTGTTTGAGTCTCTAACCACAACATCGGTAATTCTAAGCATTCTCTAAATGCAACACACACCACACTGCTAGTATCCGACCTTATATAGTCATTGGATACTAGTAGATCATAAAGGAGAACCCAATAATCATAGACTCGGTATAATTCTCACTCAACTATAGCATTGTCTCGATCTCGCATAGCCGTCAAGCCAAGAATTAAGGATATTTATTGTAAATACTAATGCAACCGCACATGCATACCTGGGGTACCCGAAGGCCATACATAACAATCAATACCTCACTAGAGCATCTAAGGTAGCTTAATTAAACACTACCATAATTCATCACACTTAAATGAGGTCATCACCTCACTCGTTGTTATCTCGTTCGTTCTTTCATCTAGAACGTTCTACAAGGGTTTACTAGTCCTTTACAATTGTTACTTCATTAATTGTTGTATTTTGTTCATTTAACATTCAAGGGCGTTTTAGTCATTTCTGTCTCAAAGGATATCGCTAAGCGCTTTATGATTCTACGACAATTGCTGTTACCATTGTTCACTTGATGTATGATTGTTAGCCCACTACCTAAGTTGAGTTCACTACTTGGTAGTGACACTTGAATCACTCACATTGCGTTTTTTTCTCAATTCACCCTTGAATAAGGGATGACTTGTGTAATACCCAATTTTAGTTTGTTCTACTATTTTTAAGGCCCAAACATTTTTATTGAAGCCAATTCTATAACATGTGACATTAGCTTACTTGCAACAAATTTTCAAGTGAGATACGAAAGTTTCTAAGTCACAATGTCTTCTTGAAATAGACCGATTTTCAGTTAGTTTTCCAACGCATTTTGAAATTTCTCAATCGAACATCAAGAATTCAAAGATATGCTTATTTTAGCAAAGATAACTCATGTAGAAAATTGGATACGGGTCTAATACATAAATTTTAATTTATTATGGATTTTAAATTATTTTATTAAATATTTGTAATTAAATTCAGGTTTATACTTTTCTATTATTTATTTAGGGTAACTTTGGATATCTTTATTATTTTAATATTTCTTTCTTTTAATTAGTGTATCTAGCATTAATTAAAAGATGTTAGGATTTTTTCTTTTAGGGATTTTGGAGTCTATGTATAGACGCTCTTATTATGTAATGACAGAGAAGAATATTTTTAGGACTTTTGTTTTGGATAGAAAAAAGGTTGAGATAAAAAGAAAAAAAAAAGAAAAAAGAGAGTAGAGATTTTACCTTTGTAATTTGATAATAGAAGCAATAAAAGATAACTTCTGTTTCAAGGTACTTCTCTTTTTATTCTTGGCTTTCATTCATGTTTTGTCGGTCGGTTCTAAATTTGTGCTTTTGTTTTTAAGCTTTATTGGAGGAAAGAAACCGAGGAACAAGAAAAATAATTTCAAATAGATTTTTTAAAATCTAGCATTTCTTGAGGTTTCTC